CATCACTGACGAGTTCTAGAAGGACGAAAAGTTGTTTGATGTAGCATCACTGACGAGTTCTAGAAGGACGAAAAGTTGTATGATGTAGCATCACTGACGAGTTCTAGAAGGACGAAAAGTTGTATGATGTAGCATCACTGACGGGTTCTACAAGGACGAAAAGTTGTATGATGTAGCATCACTGACGAGTTCTAGAAGGACGAAAAGTTGTATGATGTAGCATCACTGACGAGTTCTAGAAGGACGAAAAGTTGTTTGATGTAGCATCACTGACGAGTTCTAGAAGGACGAAAAGTTGTATGATGTAGCATCACTGACGAGTTCTAGAAGGACGAAAAGTTGTATGATGTAGCATCACTGACGAGATATAGAAGGACGAAACAGCGGTATGATGTAGCATCACTGACGAGTCCTAGAAGGACGAAACAGCTGTATGATGTAGCATCACTGACGAGTCCTAGAAGGACGAAACAGCCGTACTATGTAGCATTACTGACGAGTCCTAGAAGGACGAAACAGCCGTACTAGTGTAGCATTACTGACGAGTCCTAGAAGGACGAAACAGCCGTACTAGTGTAGCATTACTGACGAGTCCTAGAAGGACGAAACAGCTGTATGATGTAGCATCACTGACGGGTTCTACAAGGACGAAAAGTTGTATGATGTAGCATCACTGACGAGTTCTAGAAGGACGAAAAGTTGTATGATGTAGCATCACTGACGGGTTCGAGAAGGACGAAAAGTTGTATGATGTAGCATCACTGACGGGTTCTAGACGGACGAAAAGTTGTATGATGTAGCATCACTGACGGGTTCTAGAGGGACGAAAAGTTGTATGATGTAGCATCACTGACGAGTTCTAGAAGGACGAAAAGTTGTATGATGTAGCATCACTGACGGGTTCTAGAAGGACGAAAAGTTGTATGATGTAGCATCACTGACGGGTTCTAGAAGGACGAAAAGTTGTATGATGTAGCATCACTGACGGGTTCTATAAGGACGAAAAGTTGTATGATGTAGCATCACTGACGAGTTCTAGAAGGACGAGAAGTTGTATGATGTAGCATCACTGACGAGTTCTAGAAGGACGAAAAGTTGTATGATGTAGCATCACTGACGAGTTCTAGAAGGACGAAAAGTTGTATGATGTAGCATCACTGACGGGTTCTAGAAGGACGAGAAGTTGTATGATGTAGCATCACTGACGAGTTCTAGAAGGACGAAAGGTTGTATGATGTAGCATCACTGACGAGTTCTAGAAGGACGAAAAGTTGTATGATGTAGCATCACTGACGGGTTCTAGAAGGACGAAAAGTTGTATGATGTAGCATCACTGACGAGTTCTACAAGGACGAAAAGTTGTATGATGTAGCATCACTGACGAGTTCTAGAAGGACGAAAAGTTGTATGATGTAGCATCACTGACGAGTTCTACAAGGACGAAACAGCTGTATGATGTAGCATCACTGACGAGTTCTAGATGGACGAAAAGTTGTATGATGTAGCATCACTGACGAGTTCTAGAAGGACGAATCAGCTGTATGATGTAGCATCACTGACGAGTTCTAGAAGGACGAGACAGCTGTATGATGTAGCATCACTGACGAGTTCTAGAAGGACGAAAAGTTGTATGATGTAGCATCACTGACGAGTTCTACAAGGACGAAAAGTTGTATGATGTAGCATCACTGACGAGATATAGAAGGACGAAACAGCTGTATGATGTAGCATCACTGACGAGTCCTAGAAGGACGAAACAGCTGTATGATGTAGCATCACTGACGAGTCCTAGAAGGACCAAACAGCCGTACTATGTAGCATTACTGACGAGTCCTAGAAGGACGAAACAGCTGTATGATGTAGCATCACTGACGGGTTCTACAAGGACGAAAAGTTGTATGATGTAGCATCACTGACGAGTTCTAGAAGGACGAAAAGTTGTATGATGTAGCATCACTGACGAGATATAGAAGGACGAAACAGCTGTATGATGTAGCATCACTGACGAGTCCTAGAAGGACGAAACAGCCGTACTAGTGTAGCATTACTGACGAGTCCTAGAAGGACGAAACAGCTGTATGATGTAGCATCACTGACGGGTTCTACAAGGACGAAAAGTTGTATGATGTAGCATCACTGACGAGTTCTAGAAGGACGAAAAGTTGTATGATGTAGCATCACTGACGAGTTCGAGAAGGACGAAAAGTTGTATGATGTAGCATCACTGACGGGTCCTAGACGGACGAAAAGTTGTATGATGTAGCATCACTGACGGGTTCTAGACGGACGAAAAGTTGTATGATGTAGCATCACTGACGAGTTCTAGAAGGACGAAAAGTTGTATGATGTAGCATCACTGACGGGTTCTAGAAGGACGAAAAGTTGTATGATGTAGCATCACTGACGGGTTCTAGAAGGACGAAAAGTTGTATGATGTAGCATCACTGACGGGTTCTATAAGGACGAAAAGTTGTATGATGTAGCATCACTGACGGGTTCTACAAGGACGAAAAGTTGTATGAGATGCAGCTTAGTTCATTATTTGGCTCTTCTGTCTCTGATTCTAACTTTGTATTCACTTGTACTATTAACTTGTTTGTCTTTTGTATAGCTTTTTACCAAGTTTGTATGAAATCTGTGACATTTATTTAACTTTCTTATGAGATGCAATTGAATTCTCGTTTCAGCGGCTGATACGCGCTACAAGAATTCTTACATGATTGAAATGAAATGCTGTGACCGACAATTCTTATTTAATACATTGTAAATACTGGCTGGCCAAAGATGTTCACATTCTGTTCCCCAGAAACAACCCTTTGGAAATTTATACTCAAGTGAATGAAACATATATTCACTTAAACTTTGAAACTAAAACATGTCTACCAAACTGTGACCGGTTTAAAAGTGAGTTACTTGAGACAGTATATAGGTGACAGGAGAAAAAGATCAACGTGTCAGCCATCAGCACAGATATATACAACGAGATAGCAGGAAAACGCAATATGTATTCATTGTGACGGAGTTACCAAGGCCTCGTCACCAAGCCGAATGTCACCTCTACGTGCTAGATTATGACCTTTCATTGTGATTAGACATACAGGTGTATGATGTTGTCCTTGTGTAACATAAGCTCTGTAAATAGATGTACCACTAGGGACAAAGGAGAAGTGACATATGAAACTTGAAAAAGTTCCATGAAGTGTATCCGAGGGAATAATTATAACAAACGTTTATGTGTATGTGACGCAATTTATCTCCGTTCTTTCAAAGGAATACATGCCTGTGTATGGAGTAGCCCTGCGTACTAAATGTTGACCCAACCACCTGGGGTTGTTAAGCTGACCAAATATACAAAAGATTGAGGTTACCTAAATATATATATATATTTATCTACAGTTGCTGTTTGTGTTCTGAGCTGACACTGGTCCCAGTAAATCAACATACTGTACACAGTATATATGTATATAGGATAGCTATATCTGTACTATACAGGTATTCAATTCTGGAGCTCTAATTAGAAATCCACACTATTCGGACCTTCAACTGATACCAGTGCATACGTAACTGCTTATAATCGACAATATGTCGCTACATTCTCTTGGTTTTATTCGAAAATTGTATCAATTATGCCAGATAATTTTCTCAACCTGCCCCCAGTTACACAACTCATCAACATGTCGACCAGAACCTCCCATAAAGAAGATAAATGTTAAAGGAAATGGTTCTTTCCTGGCACAAGATTCCCATCTGAATCCAGACATATTTCCGTATCGTATTTTGCGTAGCGTTTCCTGTCTCCTGGATCATCATAAAACGCTCAATGCTTGATCAAAACGGCAGACAGTCTGCGGCATACAATGTTTGATACAGTGGTTCACGGTGGTGAAATATTTCATAGAAATAAACATATATTAAAATGTGTGCTTGACATCGATATTTGGGTACATAAGTATTCACTAGCTTTCTATAAAAAAAGAATATTAAGAGAGAGAAAAAATAAGAAAAGAAAACATTGATGTACAATGTGTAAAAATGTCCGATCTGAGCTTCGAGCTCAGAGTCGTAGCCGGTCACCACGTCCATGCTATTTCACAGTTCGCCATTTCTATCTGTATATGCCTACGGTTTGCGATTACTTCTAATTGAGATCATCACTAAGGTTCTATGAACTGAAAATACATTTGATAAGAAACATTGTTTGTCGATCACCAATTATTCTAAATGGACGCCGTCATTTTGTTACTGGAAGCAGACGACATTTTAACGTTATTTCGTAACTAAAACATCCCCACCCCGGCCCCAAGATTATAATTTTGTATAAAGAAAAAATACTTGATTGTAAAAAATCAATTTGTTTTTATGAATCAAAGGAAAACAGCAAAATAATTGTGACCAATCGACATACGTGTGGGAAAGAGAAACCTAACATGGCGATGGGACAGGAAGCAAACCCCACGTGAATTTGACACTAAATAATTTATATTTCGGTGAATAAACTTATAACGGTGTATTCAGATAAGTTGTTGTTTAGATGATATGGTGATTAAATTGAAAAAAAAACTTATCTGAATAATTAATTCAATATTTACTATAATATTTTTTTCACATATTTTGTTTTCAACTTAAAATATAGAATTTATCACAGCACATAACAACTAAGTTTCATAAAGTGAGGCCTTTATCAAGTGCGACCTCACGAACATTTTAAACCAGATCATATGAAGGACGATGTCAATGAAATTACAGTCTAATGCATATAATTGATATCAATGATTTCATATCATTGCTGTTATCAGTCTCGTTAATTGTATCATATTTCCATCATGTCGATCCATTGACCTTTGTCATGTTATTTTGTGTCGGGTACTTATCAAATCACTGTGTAAATATAACGTGATTTACAATACCATTCATACACAGTAACTGTTCCCCATTGAACAGTTGAAAAACTCTTGATTAGTTTTGAACATCTGAAAAAGAAGTGGGTACATCCATCAAGATTAAGACCTCTTCTTAACAACAATCTTGTATTGATTCGCAGTATATCCTCCTAAGCCACTGATATCTGGGGTAAAATCGGGAGCGACACCTGGCGGTAGCATGATATCAAACTGATGGAGAAGGATTGCGCAGATTACATGAAGTTCTGCCTTGGCAACGCTTTCTCCAAGACAAACCCTCCTTCCGGCAGAAAATGGAAGCCAACTAACAGGTTTAGGTCCCAGATTCCCATCTGAATCCAAAAATCTTTCCGGATCAAATTTTTTGGGATCTTTCCAGTGTCGGGTATCGTAGTGTAGAGCCCACTGGTTAACCATGATGGTTGTTCCTTTTGGTATATCATATCCGCCTGAAAAGTCAACAGAGCCTACCTTAGTGATACGAGGTCAAACAATCGGTACAGATAAAGAAACGTCCAGAATCGAACACATACTTTATTAGCCTATTCAAAGAAATCAACACGATTTACAGTTTTCAGAGTGAACAATTATTGTAAATAGACCCTTTTGATGGATAGGTCATTAAAACAAATTTCTATTTCGTCGTTATGGCACAAACGAAAAATAGTTCCAAGTACAATGCAAAGCGGCAATGGTGATTATATAACGTCCTCTTCAATCTACATTACTTTGGACAACTGTGGTATATGCGATGACAATAAACAAGGAAACTATCAAACATGTTAATTTTGACGCATGATGAATCCTGGTGATAAAATGACTTTTCCAATTTTATTTATAGTCATTTCTAGAATGAGTGAGCTCTATCTCAATCAACGAAATGCGTCCTTGCAACTTTGGTGTTATGAAAATAGCAATATGTGTACAACGTAATCTCAGTTGATTTGAGAAGAGTAGATATCTCTGCCGTGAAAATGTTCGACATACTTAATCTCAACTATTCTACAATTCAAGTAAGGTGACGACTTTTGCTGGTCGCGTCGTGAGAGTTATTTAAGATGAGGATACAATGTGCTGTCAAACTCGGGATGGAGAAAGAGATGATAGTATAAACATGATCGTCTTTGCACGGTAAATACATTTCTGATTCAGAGTCATCATATCAAATATGCTAAAAAAATTAATTTTGAAGACATGACATGTCTTTGTTGGGGGTGTCCTACAATATACGGTTTACATTTTCCGTCATTACATGGCTATATGATATATATACCTAATTTAGAATCGACTCTGGCTGCATGTGGTACACCCACAGGGGCCACTGTGGCTATCCTCATTGTCTCGTGCAGTGTAGCCTCTGTGTATGGCATTGCATTTCGATCGTCAAGACCCGGAAGTCGGTCACGCCCTTTCAACAATATAAACAAATGCAAAACACTAAAATAAGTTGATGAATATGTTGGTAGAACATTGACCTACGTAACCTCATATCCGACACGTGTGGTAAAATAAAATATGCTGTCGTAGCAGCGTCCTTAGACAAGACACTTTAATTTCATTGACCCGGATGGAATGCGACGAACCTTCCGCCTACTGTTCAAATATCTACTACAGGGAAATCCCGCCTCAAAATGACTGTTCACAAGGCTATATTCTTCGGTAAAAGACGTCTAGAAAGTGAGGGAAATATTTGGTACAAATGAAAAGTATTTTATTCTATTATACTATGAGAAGATTTTTTTTTTAACTTCAATGAATTTGAACCTATCTGACCCCACCAATCAGGCCCCCGAGAATATATATATAGGATATTTTATGGACGCAGGCATTAAAGTGCCTCTATATCGATATCATTACTGGTATACAGTATAAAATACAGAGTATATTAGGTTATACCTCCGGTGACTGATTTATAACTGGCTAAGTAATTAAATGTTATCTCCCGATTTTGCCAATAATTATCTAAATTAAGTAGGGGCCATATAATTTACAATGCGGTTCATATTCCACCACGGAAGGTTTCTACAAAATTTCCGTGAAAATCGGTCTAAAGATTTTTCACGAGAAGTCGAAAATGTAAACAGTTTACCGAAAATATTCAAACGTCACTTCCTGTACATACCAACAGCATTGTCGATTTCCATCTGTGCTTTTTTCTGTATTTCAGTATTTGCAGCAATGTACAGTAGAAACCACTGCAAGGTGAGCCGTGAGGTGTCTAATCCAGCTAGAATGGTAACAACCAATCAGTTACACGACAATCATCCCTACAAATATTTGCAATGAATCGTGAATACAATGCATATATTTATTTCAAAATATGCTTCCATAATGTAACTCTATTTGACAGAATTTACCGGGTTTTTCAAAGAAATATTTTGAAAGGTTTAACTGAATATTTACCAAACATACATCTTGGTTTTATATCGATTAGTTCGATATTTTAAACACTGGACTTTTAATTGTTTATAGTACTGAAAATATTGATCAGGTCTCTAGTTACATTAGCATTAAATCTTAAGGATTGAGTTATTCCAGTGAGTCCAACTTTAAGAATCACCACCACATGGAACGACTGTTTGGAGAAAATATTGTAATGTCACAATGGCAATTATAGCCTTATAATCCACTGGTGGCCTTGTAGCGGTATGGGACGGTGAACTTGCAAATGCAAATATAAATATTTACATTTCATATCTGAACTAACTTTATGTTTTTTTAAATAATATGTAGCTGATTTGAGAGGTTCGGTTTACATTTGACAGAGAAAAGCGTGTATATACATCCATGTCATCCATAACATATTCGATTTGAATGACATACCGAAGAAAATATCGCCCAGCGTCTGTTTCAGATGAACATCTGTGAGTTGACTCAGAAGTTCTGTATCGTCCTCGTTTTCTGCCTCTAGTCGCGCTAGAATTAAGGCGTCAGCGAAGTCCCGGATGTTACCTGGATAACACCGTACATAAAAACTAGCCACATATGTAAAAAAAAAAAAAAAAAATACGATAAAATGAAATTGGATTTAAAACATGTGTCTTTAAAATATTATGTATATTGAAATTTATAATAATTTGATCTCAAATTTTCAATAAAAAGCAACCTTCATCAAAGGACTTCTGATGCTCCTTAAACTCTTTCTCAAGGTTCTGATAAAGTTCCTGTGCTATTGTTACTGCTTTTGTGAACCGTTTGCTAGGCCAGATCTTCGCCAAAATAGGAAAGAGGTCTTCTATGAAACCGTTCCCAAATGTTGTTAACAGTTCGTTCTGTAAATCCAACCAATGCTTGAATGCAGGGTTGTCAAAATTATACCTTAAGATAAACAAAAAAAAATTATATTATATCATATATTATATTATTTTAATATTTAACAATATTATTTATATATAAATTTAACCACGGCATCTATCGTCACATACATCCATTTTAAAAATTATCTATATTATAGTATCTCATGTAACAGGTAGCTGATGAACTCAGGTGAACTATATGGTAAATATGGAACTGACTATAATTGGTTTGCCATTGTCTTCATAAAACCTCTCCCTAACCGACTTTGATATGTATCAGGGCAATACTGTGTTATAATAAATATGCATTAAAAATAATTACACTTTCTGGAAGCAAAGCCCGCAGATGATGTTCATTACACAAAGGTCTATGTGTGAGTGTGGAACGAAAGGTTCTCCCTTCGTGTCCTCAAACATCTTAATCCCCTGCACCAAGGATCCGTGTATAGCATCTTCTAACCGCTTTCCTTTCAGGTAGGTCCTAGAAAGAAGGCGAACAGAATAAAAATATAAATAGAATATTTTTTCTATGAAATGAAATATATGAACGACTGAAGGAGTATTACGCCGCAGACAATATGACACTTAATTTGGAGATGACACGCTCTCTCAAGAATAACATTCTACTCTCGTATTTTTCAGCTAATGATTCGTCTGTAAGTAAGTTGACAGATTCCATGATAAATATATTTTATTCCTTGTAATATCACAGAAAGTAATACCTAGTTAAACGTCCTTGACAAACTAGCAGCACTCAATTACCACAGATAAATTCAATATCTCAGCAAATTCCATTGATAAAAATTTCAAATACATGATATAAATTCACTTTTTTTTTTACATCTACTGCGGAACAAGTTAAACCAACTTATACTTTCTCTCTTGAAGCGGGCAATCGGTTTGATTGTGTGATAAAACCAGAATACTCTTATAACCCAAAGGTGGTCTAATGTCAGGCAATCGACCGTAACTGGTCAGATATAACGCGAGTGCGTTCCCACTGTGCCACCGGCGACCACTCACAAAGAGTTTCAGAACCAAGATCTAAGGTCTAAGTACACGACACTGTTTCATATACCTGAGGGCGGAACCAGCGATCTTACGGTGGAGTTTCCATGTAGGAGTATACTGGGCCAAAGCGATGTCTTTTCCACCATCAGAAAGAATATCTCCTTCATTGTAAAAGAAAGCAAATTTGTATAGTGCTCTTTGAAACATTTTGAAGGATGCGTTTTAATAACACTATCACAACAAGCATCCCTAGATTAGTAAACATGATTTATCATGACATTTTATAGGTAATATTCTAGTCAATGTAATAAATTGCAATGAAATAATTGACATGTGGGAAAATAGAAGATGTCATTTCTGTCAAAGAAGTTCGATTATTTATTTCTTATGTGTGTTGTGTTACAGAATTTGTTGTCTACGTGAAATAGAAATCAACCGGTAAAGAATACATATTTTTGAAAAATGTTTTATGCAATAACGGCAACTATGGATCTGTCATAAATATGTAATTCAAATCAAGCTTGTATTACGTCGGAATAACAACATTATCTACATTTTACTGAATTTTCGTTGAAATGCAATGCTTCAATATGTTCAAATCGTATTCATCAGCCAATATATTGATTCGCAAAATCCGTGTACGATAGCAAGTCGGCAAAGGTGTGATATGCCTTAATTATCAAATCAGCCAATTAGCATAATTGATATGGCATACTCTACCTGTTGGAAACTCTGGTCGGTTGGCAAAGTCTGCCTTCGACTTGACCAAGGCTTCCGTGGCAGCTTCTATTGTATTGACAATCACCATGGGGATCGTGCCTGCCAATATATATGTACACCTATATCTTGATAATTATAAAACATATATTGTAAATACGTTAATTTTCTCGATGTTTTTATTTTCGTTGATTTCATGAGTACGATATGTTTAATAAATACGACATAATTTTATGAAGATACATGAATTATATTGCGACATTAAGCTGCAAAATATATCGATCATGTCTTTGAAGATATCAGTATGAAGGACCTAATGAATCCTCTTTCTTCCGTTCTACAAAACGTCGTCATCGTTAGTGGAGGATTGTATACACGTATATAAATTTAGGAGAATTATCACAATACTTTCCAATTCTTCATGAAGATTCCGAAAATAGTGTCATTTTATCGCATCATGTTGGTTATCAATACCTTAAACGTAAAAACGTGTTATTAATTTGATAGCCAACGAAAACGTTGTTTATCAATACCTTATCGAAATTAATATAAATAATGAATAAAAATATAATTATTTTGTTGTTTGATGCTATTTTATTTATTCCAGTTATAAGAATTATGTACTCATATACCACATCCATACACATTTACACACACCTTTACATGTACATTATCATTATATCACATAAATCACATCAATCATTAATCAGATATTCATCAAACATATATACATGAAGTTGTTTTATTTTAAGCACTAATAATAATAAATATATACATGAAGTTTGTTTTAAGAACATCCATAGGCTAACACCTCATTATATTTTTGGGTGGCGAGTTGTCTTGATATATGGGGGCGACTTGTCTTACGAGGGGGCGACTTGTCTTATTTAGGATTGGGGGCGGCTTGTCTTGGGGGCGACTTGACTTGCATTCTTAAGACTATGCCCTAGTTATACACTGAAGATGTACAACTCACCCATGTATACAGTGATAACCGGCCCATACGTCTTTGACAGCTCTGCTAGATGTTCTTGCAAGTCTTTTGTTCCCAATACTGTAACAATTAACCAAGTAATCAACAACGCTATAAGGTAGGAATTTGTATCAGGTCATGTTATTCAATGTGAGCCGTTGATATTTTAAAGTTGGGTAACAAATCAAAACTAGAAATTTGGTCAGGACTGAAATACGTGACAGACCTTGATATGTATTACATGTACAATTATACTGTTTCAGAAAACCAGATCATACTAATTTTTTATAATTTCAATCCAATTTGTGCATAAGGTGGGAAAGGAAAATCTTAGATTCAACTAATTAGTATGTGTAATGTTTAAACATATTCAAGTAATTAGTATGCGCAATGTTTAAACATGGTCATAACTGACGACGACATCTCAAATTTCACAAAGAGTTTAAGTATTTTGGTTTATGGTAATTAAATCTTACGACTATAGTTTCCGAGCAGTGGTAAAGGTGTAGGTCCCGGCGGTAGTTTGTATTTGTTTCGTTTGATCAGCCAGTAGACTGTCAGACCGGCACCAAGTCCTACCAAAGCGGAAGTTGGTGTGACGTATTTCTGCATCGGTTCCAGCATCTCCTTTAGGTGCTGAAAGCCGTCTTCTAGTTGATCTTTCAAATTCTCCATTTTGTCACATAAAATTTGTACGTTGATACTAAAATGTAGAAAAGTTGAAATCATCAGCAAATTTGTAGTTAAATATTGAACTTTTACCCGATATTTTAGAGTCAATATGACTACAATAAAGGCGTTACGGGCATGTCATTGATCTGTCACCCAAATTGTATTCATATCGACTGTATAGTACAATCAGGTAACAGTTCCTTTGTTATACTGTACTTATATATACATGTATAGATATTTCAGAGCGTTTCGGTATCTCGTTGAAGAAGAATCTGACGTTAGCAAGTTAACATTCCGAAGACACAATTTTTAAAGAAGAAATCATGTAGCTCATCGTGCAGTCATAAACATGCGTATTAAATAGTATAAGCACCTTTTTTTCAAACGAAAATGTACATGCATCATAAATAATTTCATAATGAAATAGGAAAGTTTGTTTTGTTATTTTTGGAATAACCGTGATTTTACTGCACACTGATATCAGTGAAAGGTGATGGGGCTTTCATAGCACTTGTCTGATGTTTCACTGAGAACATGTCTATCTTCTGGATTTATCTTATAACGCCTGATTTTCTAAATGGTAGTCGCCTCTGTCAATAAGTGACAACGATCACAAGGATGTTTTGTTTGCATCAGTTTCCATGCACTGTCTGTTATACATCTAGCAGAAGACGCCAATAAAGACAAACTTGGTAATCTCGATCACAAGGATGTTTCATTGCATTGGATTATATGCACTGTCTCGATCGGTCGAGTGTCTGACAGTAAACCGGAAGTTCTGGGTTCGAATCCACGCGGAGGTATTGAAATAAATAATGACGTCTGTTACATCTGGTTATAATATATTTGAATCAATTGTTGATATAATGTTGTTGTCGAGTTCCAAATCTACCCAACTCTTCTAGCAAGTAGACAGTAACTGACAACTATGTTATTTTAAAGCTTTGCATATTGTGCTTGTTGTACGTGGTTAGCAGTTGGGATCTTCCTACATACACTTACAGTTATGAAATGTATTCGAATTCGTCGATATTACTCTTCGCTCGCCGGTCTTCCCTTCACAACAATATACTCAACAGTCGCCGGTCTTCCCTTCACAACAATATACTCAACAGTCGCCGGTCTTCCCTTCACAACAATATACTCAACAGAATCACATGTTTATAACTTTATGTATATAAACAAGCCATCAAAACGTCATACATATTTTACAAGTAGATGCTGTATGCATCTATTGTGTCACCACATCTATGGTATTACTGACCTTTGTACCGGTGTGTCTAGTCCGTGGTGTGCTAGATCGTCAGTGTCAATTAATGAACAGCTACGACCAGCTTCACCTCGTGTCAGCGGAAAGTCGTTGTCTCGTCCTGAAATTTTATCGATGACGAGTAGCAAACACCTGATTATAAGTCTTCAAGGTCACACAACGTGCGTAAGTTCTCTCTTTTCAATCACTCGGCACTACAACCTTGTATACGATGGTAGTCTTTTATCACTACAGTGTCCGAGTGTCCTGCTAAACACATATTTACACATATAAATTTCGTTGGGTCAATGTATACACAGTTGGACAGTCCATGCCTATTCAGGCCCTGCACCAAATCCTAGCCGCCCACTTCGTATTTACATTTACTTGTATGTGTTCAATTTTGAAGCTAAAGTTAGACAGCTATATACAGTCTAACAATCTATCATCGACCCGGAACATTTATCTGGTCCAGGACTTAATCGGTGTGTGCATATTCTGTGTCAGCCCCGAATAGGCATAGGGCAAATCTTTGCCGACAAAGGTATTTGCTTAACTCTGTCACCCGCCACATGGTGCACGACATACCTGGCTAGCTGTTGTCACCACCTTAGATGGGGTGCCAGGTATATGGGCATCTACAAGGCACACTATAACTGGAATAAAACATGTTTTCTTTCATACAAAAAGTTTCAAATCATCGTAAATCATGATTACATTTAATGTTTATCTAATAAAAAACTACGATAAGCATCGTACATGGCTAGTCAGTAGAGTATCGCGTGCATTAATGGTAGAAAAAGTTTCAGTGTTGTAAACAGTCATACATGGGTAACCTTGGTTATTATTAGTCGCAATATACCGATCGACTAGAGAAAATTTCTCTTTAGCTCGCTCGGTTGAGCGTCAGACTATAGTAAGTCAGGGGTCACTGGTTCGAATCTTAGTAGAAGCAATGACATATATAATGACCTCTGTTACATTGGTGTCCATGAAGGGTACGGAAATAATATTAAGTCATGCCCCACCATCACCGCTGTAGCCCCCGGAAACTCGAGGACGAGTTATTTCCTTCAGGGGGACTGTAACACTGGTAAAGATTAGCCGTAACAAATATAAACACTCGGCTAGAGAGAATTTCTTTTTAATAACACAGGGGTCCCGGGTTCGAATCCTGATTGAGGAAGTGACATAAAGAATGATCTCTGTTACTCATGTATTCACGCACGTCAATGTCTCAAAAACCAGGTTGTACATCCCCAAATAAATTCCACGGCCTCAGATTGGAATTGTTAATATCCTAAATCATCACACATCGACAACAACCACAATCAATTTGGGAGTACTGTTTTTGTTTTATTTATCTATGTGGAAAACTATTTGGGGCGATGTAAGATATTTTCAATCGTTTCTGAAACCGAGTCGTTATTATATATATTTGTATATACATGTATATTTATAAGCAATGATCACTTAAAGCATTCGGTCTTTTAAAATCATTCATACAGAATCGCACCCTAATATTTATTTATTCATTTATTTATTTTCTTTTTCAAAATTAAACGTAATGTTAAAAAAACTTTCCCGGTATGTCATGTTTACTCTAATGATCTTTTATCATATTAACTTAAACATTTAAGTCACGCATAGCGTTTTGGTTGTAGTCCACAGAAGTACTTATTTTAATCATCGGAATATGAATTCACTGAGGGAATATCACAACTGCTCCTATAATCCAAAGACAAAATAAAATTGGAGTCCATCTCGTCACTGATCATACATTTGTCTTCTTACAGTATCATTTAGTGATCCGAAAAAGAGCCCCTCCCCACTCTGTATCTGCGCAAGACCTCTCAACACTGGATTTCGAGAGGCGTAGGTTAATGGATCGGCATAGTGATCTTATTGAGAAATAAATCATTTTCTTATGCATTGTGAAATTTTGGACGTGCTTGTTAGTTTGTCTGATGGTTCCGTTGTTTACCGTGTTTTTTGTTTAGTAACGAGATCTTACTTCCTTGTTTCTACATGGCTGTGTCATTGATGAAGCAGATAATACGCTTTCGAAAAACTTTATTGAACAACTAGCCTTGTCCTCGTGATTTCTGTAATGTTATCCGTGTAAATCACCTTGTTCAGGCTTTTCTTAGTGTCGAATGCGAGTTTGAATAAAGATTCTAGTGATATGTCGGTCGCTTCTTTCTTGTCTATTATTAACATAAAAGAAATTTTTCACTCATATTTTTTAAATTGCAATTCTATTGCTATTGTGTGAAATAATAGCAACAAAGACCGGTATTTTCAACCTAAGAAATTACATTTGTATAGCAAGAAATCCCCAAGGGATCTTGGTGTCCACATAGTTTAAACTTTATCTGCATTTTCAATAGTTTGATCTCTTCCTTTTCTCTTCATTTTTTGTTCTCTCTGCCTACCCCCTCTCTCTATATAAATTAAATGAAATTTTAAAAATCCCTATTTAAAAAATTAAAAGATAGCAACAACAATCTTGAATCGCCAAATCCAAGATGGTCGCCTGTCAGCTCTTTTTTCTAGTCACTTAAGAAATGAAATGGTCACAACTAGTGTCTAAGGCAACTTACAACTGAAATTCGAATACTTTTCAAGAAATAGCGATAATAAAATTTTCATTGTCAAAATTCAAGATGGTCACTTCTCAGCCATTTTATTTTTCTGACCAGATCGAAAAGCAGTCGGGCACAGCTAAGGACCAAAGGTAACCCAAAGTGAAATTTAAGAAAGATCCATCCCATACTTCTTAAGAAATGGTGATTAAACATTCACTGTCAAATTCCAATATGGCCGCCTGCCAGTCAAACACGCACAACTAGGGACCATCCAATACTCGAGAAATAGCGATAACAAACCTTCATAATTAAAATTCAACATTGCTGCCTGCCGACCATGTTTTTCGAATCATTTGGAAACTCGGACAAGCACAACTAGGGACCACGGGAAACCGATGTACATTGTACACACAGAATTTGATATAGATCCGTCGTGGACTTCTATAGAAATCACGTTAACAAAACTTGTTTATGGAGAAACGGCCGGATCAAGGACGCAGATTGATTTCAACAGCCCGCCATCTGATCATGATGAGCTGATAAAATACTGCATTCACAAATCACAATTAATACCGAGATATATCAATCACATTAAAGATAAAACACCTTCATCTAAGAAGAAAAAATAACAAGAGAGCGTCGTTATGATTTACTTTTTTATTTAGAAGTTTTGCTTCTTGTGTCTTGTTGAGACTTGTCCACTTCTGATCAACAGAATGGAACGACTGGTAGTAGCAGTTGCCATCAAAACACAAATACCACTCCCAAACAACCAGCTTATTTGGTAAATCCCTTCGATTTACTTACCTTGTTAATGTTTATCTATTCCAACGAGACCTCGCGAGTATGTGTGTACAGTGAATTAGATTGCATAAGACGATGACAAGAGTTCTGCGCAGAAAATCAAACCCAGTTCATAGTAAGCCTTTATCGTATTGAAGTATGTACATGTATTTAAATAGTGTTAACTTACCTTGACACGCTTCAAGAACTTTCAGAGATTCTACCTCGACAGACGAATATATCGTAATACCGCTTTAAAATGCCTACATGGTACTTTCATACATCTTTTTTTCGACTAATATAATTACTTTCTTATGGCTCATCAGACAGAAGAAAAAAACATTTGGTAGGGTTAACACTTCAATGATTAGGGAAGACTTTTC